TTGACAGAAGAAGCAATTGTTCGGATGAGGTAAATAGTGCTCTTTTAAAAAAAAGATGGCGCGTAACCAAAAACGTGACGCGTAACCGAAAAAAATGTGACGGTAAATTTTTTTCCAACGCCGATAAAGAAGTTTCACTTCAAAAAACACAAAACACTGGTCTGTAAAGGTAAATAACAAACTTAGCATTACGATCTGTAAAATGCCTAAATATCAGTAGATATTATATATGTTACCGGCCAAACCCGATTTCAGGACAAACTAGTTTTGCCTAGGCTAAACTGGTTCTTCCTATGCGCGATAGGATTAACTAGTATAGCCTAGTCCAAACTAATTTTTCCTAAGCCCGATAGGATAAACCAGTTTAGCCTAGGCCAAACTAGTTGATCCTGATAAAAATACGCATACTCTAGGATAAACTAGTATGGCCTAGTGTAAACATTATAGTATATCTAGAAAGTCAAAATAAATAGATAAACTGAATAAAATAATCCGTAATTGGAAAAATAATATTTTTTATTAAAACCATAATGATTCATCGTTACAAGTTATGGATAATTAGTAATACAAAGAAAAGTAAGAAAAGTTTAATTTTTCTAGTAAACTTTTCTTTAGATTTAAACACCTAGCAGTTAAATGCTTAAAAATAAATAAAAACACTAACTATAATTGCTATTTCTTCTTTCAAATGTTTAATACTTGAAAAAGTATTCATTTGACATTGTGGGTTGCGTGGTTGCAACCTACAATGCGAAGAGATGGCGCTGCCTTGCAGCTTAAGGCTAGGAAAATTTCGACGCGGCGAATAGGGCCGTGGTAGCATAATGGTCAGTGCATTCGCCCGGATTGCGAAGGGTGCGGGTTCGAGTCCGGTCCGCTGCCTGGTCTGCGTGGTTTTTTTTTCTAGTAAACTTTTCTTAAAATATTTTGAGTTTACAGTGAGATGAATTGTAAAAGGTTCGAATGATTCGGAATTTCTTAAGCCGGGTAGTTACTCATTGGCGAGCTGTAACCATAACCGTTGCACGCACTGTAACCAAAAAGCATAGTGTGTACGTGGTTCGATAACCTGCTGCGAGAACGGTACGCGTGCGGTTTGAAGCGAGCCAACGTTCACAACTGAGCTACTAGCGTACACACTAGAACTTCGTACTGTATCACGCATGTTACGGTAACAAATCGCTAATGCGTACCCGGCTTTACTGTCTTCCGAACTCCCGGCAACAACAAAAGAGTTAAACAAAAACCAATTACAGAAAAAACACTCCCTCCACTTTCTTCCAGCGTTCTTTTTACATGACGCGCCCTGTACAAGTCCTGAAATGTTTGTTCAATTACTTTCCGCTTTGCTAAATTGGTTTAGACTAGGTCGTACTAGTTTATCCTAGAGTGTGCGTATTTATATCAGGATCATCTAGTTTGGCCTAGGCTAAACTGGTTTATCCTGTCGCGCTTAGGATAAATTAGTTTGGACTAGGCTATACTAGTTAATCCTATCGCGTATAGGAAGAACCAGTTTAGCCTAGGCAAAACTAGATTGTCCTGAAATCGGGTTTGGCCGGTAACATATACATACATAATATGATATGATACAAGTATGTAGCCAATACGTTGATAGAAAATCTATACCGTAAAGGCAGTAACCTAGCAACTAGCCCATCTGACTCATACTGTTAACACGTTAAGGTTGGCATTTGAATGCCACATACCCGGACGACAGTCGGAGATGGCGATAATGTTTTGTCACCGCATGGACTGCGCGACTTCCTAACCTGGGGTTATACTCGTATGTTAGTAGATTCGTGAAAAAAGGTACTTTGACTTTTATTGGTGTATTGTCAACGAATACTGGAGTATCGTTAACAATATTATTTGGTGACAACACTACCGAATGAAGTTTTTATTCCAAGCATTTCTTGAAATCAGTCTTCCATCATTTTATGATCACGATATGAATTAGATGATCATCATGTCTGTCTTTGATGAAAAAGTTATGGTGAAAAAAATATCAACTTGAGATTATTTATTTATTTTTGATGTCAACCAATAAAATTATGACTTCTTCATCTTATGACTTATTAATTATCAGTGAAAATAGAACCAAACAAATTTATATTACTATGCGTTAGTCGATGATGGTATAGTTACAAGTTACAACAAAAACACTACCTACGCCCTGAACAGGGCCACTAAAAACTAGACAATACTCCTGCACCGTCACCCGACACGCACTATGAGGACCGCGGTCCCCCTAGTGCATGCCGAGAGGGCAGGTGTGGTCGCGGAACCCGTCTCCGAATGGCCGCGCAACACTATGGAACCTAGTTTTGAAATAAATTATTTGAATTGAATTACCTGCGTGGCGGTGTCGCCGAGTTGTTTGAGCGATTGCGCGGACCGCGAGCGGCACAGGTTCGAACAAGCTCCTCTACCCGCTTCGCCGCAACCACGGCCGCGTTCTATAACCATTTAGTTAATGATAATATTTGTACACTATCGGCTCGCCCTCGCTTCGCTTCGGTGTGGAGCTGTGGTATACACTATAGTTTTGTCTGAGACTTGGCAGCATAGAAAAAAAGTTAGTAGCCTTCGATGGGTTACAAACTTTTTTTCTATCAAATATAGTATTTTCGGAGCTGTTACCTCTAAAAATATAGTGGATGGCAAAAAAAAAAATAGAAAAAAATAGTATACGGTTAAAATATTTACCTTAATAATAAAACAAATATTTTTAAGAAAGCTTTTAGTGGCAAAAGTCTGATTTAATCAAAATGTAATAGTTTCGCCTACTATATATGTTTGTTAAAAAAATAGTATTTGATCCCCTAATATAGTAGGGTTGGAAACCCTCCTTGTATCATACACAATGACTTTCTTTATATAATCATAAACTATCTATGAAAATTTTATTTAACTGATAGCGAACATTTTGTATCGTAGTTAAGGACCCGTTGTAATGAATGCACCATTTCTTTGCTGTTAAAAAAAGTTTGTTCTGATTACCATAGGTCCATGCCTTTAGTACTAAACGTATCTAGTAACGCAGTGGTTTGTACACCATCACTTTTATCGTCACAATTATTGCACTCATGCTAACTTTTGAATGGTATGAAATATACAATCGGAATAATTATAAAAAAATATATACTCTCATAAATGTCTCTCATAAAATCAATAATCAAATGATTTTTTGATTATTGATTTAATGTAAAGATATTGATTAGGCTCAGGTAAAAGCATTAATTTTATATTAAAGAGGGTAATTTAACACCGTGTAAAACTTGAAAAATAAACGTGTGTTCTTAAAAAATAAACGACTGTGCTTATGACCACAAGACTATATATATGTATATATATATATTATTATTATGGTAAGGAGGACATTTTTTTTAACAGCAAAGAAATGGTGCATTCATTACAACGGGTCCTTAACTACGATACGTGTATATATATATATATATATACATACAGATGGATCTTACGAAGTTTCACTTCAGTCTTGTGGTCATAAGCACAGTCGTTTTTTATTATATATATGTGTGTGTGTATGTACAATATATACATTATACTTGTATGTACATATACATAATTCATTTACTAGCTATAAGAGAATGAGAGTAAGAAAATGTGCGCGCGCACTGCTATCTCTTGCTTATATCCCCCACTCAACTCCCGTTCGCCTCGCCGAACACACTTTTCGTAACGCGTAACGCATTCGCCGGCTTACCCCCCAAGTCAAGCGTGCGTAAAGAAGTTTCATTTCAAAAATATTATATACAGTAGTAAAAAAAAAAAGTAAATAGTAGTAGTAATAGTAATAGCAGTAACTAACAAACCAGTGAACCAAATGTTCACCAAAACCTGATTTCTCGAAAACCGGAATCAGACTATTCTTAACTTATAACTTAAATATTCTCTTTATCTATCTCTTACGGTTTGGCCGCTGAAACAGCACCACGGACAGACGGACTCGTCTAATAGATAAGAGATAGTAAGTACTTTAAAGTATAATAAAGTGTCAGTGTTACCGTGATGTTTATCAGCGCTGGAAGGCGGCGCGTTCGGTTTCCTTACGCAGTACGACACCGAGTAGCTGGTGCTGCGAGTGTGGTTAGAGACGCAGCCTACGCATACGCCCGGGGACCGCTTGCCTACGATATATAAAACGTTTCAACATTATATTGCTTACTAGTGGCCCGCCCTCGTTTCGATTCGGTGTAGAGCTGTAGTGTAGGTAGACTATAGTTTTTGTTCTCAGGCTTGTATTATACACAATGAATTTCTTTATATAATTATTTTTCTCACCTTTTAAACCTTCCCTAGACCTCTACGAACATTTCAAGATAAGATAAATCCGTTCAGCCGTTCTCGAGTTTTAGCGATACTAACGATAAGTATCCTTATAATACCAAAATTTTTTTTGGTGCTTCGCTATCTTTTTCTGTGAGTTTGGGAAATGTCACCGTCATTGTCTAATTATCCGTATTTTCGCAAAACACCAAGGAATTTCACGAAAATTCGATTTATTAACTCATACTACGATACTTATATTAGACCATAAAAATATATAACCATTTAGATTGACTAAAATACAAAATAAATAAATCATTTATATTGTTTATCAAGAATAAAATATATTATCACTATTGAAATTACTTACACATAACACAATTCCACATAACTATATACATTTATAATATTAACAATTCAAGTAACGTGGACGTGTTCCTGACAAGTCAAAATTACTTCTCAGATCTGCCGACCGCCGCATTGAAAGCGAGACGCTCGAATTTCAGCCTAAACGGCGAAACTACCAAATATTGCAACTATTAAACCATTCTTTAAATACCAGGATTGTATGCGCTCCTGTCCCTATTGTTAAGATTAGGCGTGGACTTTATGTAGCGGTCAGAATTACGACTGGAGACTGTCCATCGACGTTTGTATAAGGCGACATCTACTTAAAATAACAACTAAATAACTTTTAATTTCTAACATACCAGTATTATAGGCACTCCCGTTCTGCTGCTGTCCGTCTTTATTATTTAAATTGGGCGTGGACTTGAATATGTCACGCATGTAGTCTAACGGTCGAAAGTGTGACTCTAGTCTCTCCACCGCCGCTTCTATAAGGCGACAACTACTAAAAATAACAACTAAATAAGTATTCATTTCTGACATACCAGCATTATAGGCACTCCCGTTCTGCTGCTGTCCGTCTTTATTATCCAAATTCGGCGTGGACTTGAATATGTCACGCATGTAGTCTAACGGTCGAAAGTGTGACTCGAGTCTGTCCACCGCCGCTTCTATAAGGCGACAACTACTAAAAATAACAACTAAATAAGTATTCATTTCTGACATACCAGCATTATAGGCACTCCCGTTCTGCTGCTGTCCGTCTTTATTATCCAAATTCGGCGTGGACTTGAATATGTCACGCATGTAGTCTAATGGTCGAAAGTGTGACTCGAGTCTGTCCACCGCCGCTTCTATAAGGCGACAACTACTAAAAATAACAACTAAATAAGTATTCATTTCTGACATACCAGCATTATAGGCACTCCCGTTCTGCTGCTGTCCGTCTTTATTATCCAAATTCGGCGTGGACTTGAATATGTCACGCATGTAGTCTAACGGTCGAAAGTGTGACTCTAGTCTCTCCACCGCCGCTTCTATAAGGCGACAACTACTAAAAATAACAACTAAATAAGTATTCATTTCTGACATACCAGCATTATAGGCACTCCCGTTCTGCTGCTGTCCGTCTTTATTATTCAAATTGGGCGTGGACTTGAATATGTCACGCATGTAGTCCAATGGTCGAAAGTGTGACTCGAGGCTGTCCACGGCCGCTTCGAGGGTGAGAAGCAGCTCGGTCACATAGCCTTGCATGTCCTCGCCTTGTTCCGCGACCGTTTCCACCAGGCGGGACAGTATGTCCGATACATTGCGGCCTGTCATTGCTACGCCTATCAGGCGGAACACCTAAAAAGGAGCTTAATGTGAGAACTTTTACCTTTAAATAAAACTATTTATAACGGGTTAATGCACGAACTTTATTTATTTATTGACGTTTCGCAGCCTTTTCAGGTCTGCATCGTCAGAATAATGATGTTTTATTTACTTTGTCGAGCTATCTTCGAAAGACTTTTATTGAGCGTTCGGATATTTCAATGGAAGATTTTTAAAACTTTATTGTCTATGTATGAATTTATTAGTTAATTTAGTTAATAAAGTACTTTATTTAAAATTCTTTTTGTAATTTCGTGTTTATTTATTTGACCCTAACTACCGTAAACTACCACCGGTTCCAAAATTGGGAGACCTTTGTGAAAAGAACCAGCGAAACAAACTCAGAGAGGCTTTCTAGCTCCTTCTTATGTTAAATTATGGAAACAAAAAGAACTAATAGTATCTGTTGGTCTGAAATAGATAGAGCTGGGTATCAAGACGCGTCTCTCTTCTGTCTGCATGCAGCGCCTCCTAAAATACTTCGGTCACGTAGCAAGGAGAAGCCCGGATAATTTTGAAAAGCTTTTGGTCGTTGGAAACGTGGAAGGCAAGAGGAGTAGGGGCAGGTCTCCATCCCGGTGGTTGGACATAGTTAAAGGAACTACGAATGGCAACTTGCAGGCGTCCATCCGCCTTGCAGAACACAGAACGGTCTGGAGATCGTTGGTGAAATGTGCTGTCTTGAAAGGTCACGACCCTCAGCCATGAGGAAACGACGATGAAGAAGAAGAAGAAGAAATAGATTGGTAAGAAACAAACTTTTACCCTCTAATTCTTAAACGCGGACTAAAGTTAGTCTTGGTTTAAACCTTATGTTGTCTATGTCTTCTTTTTAGCAAACAAAAGTGTATTCATCAGTTTTAGTCCAAGTTTAACTTTAGTCTACGTTTTGTTATAAGGCGGTGAACGTCATATTGACAATGAAGATAAAGTTTGGAATAATTTGATAACATAACTGAGAAAAGTTGCAGCCCTTCATGGTCACGCCTATCAGGGGTAACACCAGGACTTAAGGCAAAAGGAAAACATTCAACGCAGCCGTGCATGTTCTCGCTTTGTTCTGCCACCGTTTTCTACAAGACATGACAGTAGGTTTGACAAGTTGCATCCTGTCATTGCATTGAATAAATAACGCTTGAAGTAGTCTCTGTTGTCATTAGTCTAACGTCCTATTGTTAAACATATTTTATAATGCATATCAGCGGAAGGCATGAACTTCATTTCGCAGAAACTTATTTGGCATTCACTCGTTTATCAGACATTCAAAACTCATAATTTCTTAAGAATCTATCGTCCTTGTATTATAATGTTCGGTTTTCAATAGATTTAACTATTACAGTACCTGCAAGGAACGGCCAGCGTAGTGGCGAGAGGGACAGGACAGGCCCAGCTGCAGTGCCGTCTGGGCCCATCTTTCTGACACTAAAGCATGAGGCAGAGACTCGCGAAATACTCTTAGCACGTGCCGCAATAGTGTCGCCATCTGTTGGCAGCTGCGTAGCGACCACACTGCCCAAAGACAAAATCATAGATTCAACGATAAGTATAATCGTTACAACGGTATAATCGTTAAAACACAATAAGCCCTATTTGTCATGATTATATAATATTTAAACAAGTTTCACAGCAATATCTCGTTTTCATTCTATATGGAAATACGGTTGTCAAATTTAATTTAACGTTTAGATAATCATGCTAGATTCCGTTCCAATATTTTGTCATGTCTTTAAACAAAATTAACATGTATCTCTAATTTTTATTCTGTATAGAATACGAGAAGGATATACTGCTGTCATATTTAATTTTACGTTTAAAGAATCATGCCAAATCGGCCCCGATACGGTTTTACAAATAAAAGGTACAAGATACTTTTAAGCTAAGGATTTGAGTATTTCTTCAAACAAAAGCGTATTGTCGGGTTTTTAACAGTGGAAAATAAATACTCTTTATCAAAGGCGGCTTGAGACAATGCGAGGCACCGGGCGATAGATCTATGCGATGGGGTTGGGCGGTATAATTTGTGAAGTGAAACCCTTCTCAAATATGAATTGCATACAAACCAAACCAAATGCAAGTATCGTATGAAATCTTGTGAAAACTTCAAATTCAATGTGACAAGCATTATTCAATTAAAGTACAACTTGGGTTGTTGTACACTATATCGATTAGGTAATGTATTTTCTTTATTCATAAAACCTGTAAGTAACATATTTAAATGCTTGTAATTTTTTGTTTCGATATAGTGTATGTCCTATAATAATTTGTGAATTCAAATAAAATAATGACTGAATCTAAAAACGCATGAAATGTTTGTGTTGTCTAAACCTGAACGCTTCATCCACTTAAATTACCTTTTGCAGTGATATCTTCGTATTGCCACAGTGGCATATGCGTAGGCCGGTTGGCAAGGAAATGTACTAGGGACTTGATCAAGTCAGCCACGGGCACTAAGGACTGCTGCGGCTGCGGTTGCGACTGAGTCTGCGATTGCGACTGCGATTGCAACTGCGTTTGCGTTTGCGTCTGCGTCGTCGGCTGCGGAGTTTCGACGTCGCGCGTTTCCTCTGCCTCGGTCACGATAACAGGCAGCGATGGGTACTGATCACCTTCGGCTGGTAGAAAGTAAGGTATTGATAATACATTGAATGGGTTTTATTACCTTGCGGTTATAAGTATGTGTCAGGGTTGAAAAAAAATCATTGCTTTAACAATTCAAATTTGTATTAGTTTAAGCTGTAAGCTTTCCCATTAAAATGAAGAAATTAAAAATTACCAATTGACTAATATTTAATGCCCAAAAGGTATGTGATATAACGTGAATAGTAATTGTAACTCTATGAAAGTATATTAAGATTTTAAATTTTGGTTTGAACCGATTCAAAGCTGCATTCACTTTAATTAATAAGTTTCAGAGCAGGATAGGTCATAAAATATTCAACTATAAATTTATTTGTGATTATAATAGTTTGATGCTGTTACTCAGAGACATCAATTGACAGCTAGTTCTGTCCCTGCCTTTGCGATGACATTACATTAAGATTAGATAGTTTTCGTGAGATCGCACGAAGGGCACTTGTACTAAGGGTACTGATTTTATTGTTTTCGTTTCAATACAAATAAACAGTGTTTAAATCTAGCATTAAATCATTTGGACCTCCAAATTGGATCACCAAAGTGGACATAGAAATATAATTCTATGATAGTTTTCGTGAGCTCAAACTCGTACTAAGGGTACAGGTGACTAAGGCCCGTATTACAGAATGACAACTAAGTGTTGATCTTTACTTGAGTACAGTTAGAAAGGGATGTCGCTATGTGCTATATATAGTGACATCCCTTTCTAACTATGCTCAAGACTAGATCAGTTACTGAGAATCTCTTATCTATTAGACAAGTCCGTCCGTCTGTCTGTGGTGCTGTTTCAGCGGCCAAACCGTAAGAGATAGATAAGGAGAATATTTAAGTTATAAGTTAAGAATAGTCTGATAAGACTACAAACCGGATTTGAGTAACGTAGCACTTCCGGTTTTCGAGAAATCAGGTTTTGGTGAACATTTGGTTCACTGGTTTGCTAGTCTTTCTATAATACGGGCCTTAGACACTAAATTTATTTGACGTCTCTTCTTGCGTTGTTCGCAACTCACCATCGGGCGTGACTTGTGGGTCGGAGCTCAGAGATCGTGCGTGCGATCGAGGCGAGTGCGCGCACGCCGGTGCGCAGTCGAAAGTTGCGTCCGGTTCTACAACTCAATGTTTTATGAAAAATCTTAAACAAAACGCATTTTAGATGAAACAGTGCTATTGATTATACAGAAAACAACATAAAATATTAGTGTGCATGTATTATCAATAATGTTGAACTTTCAAAATTTGGATGAATATAATTTAATTAAACAGAATAGTCATTTATAATGAACATCGTACTAAAACAGCACGTAGCTCTACCATACTATGTTGAACTTATTTCTGGTAAAAGACGCAAGGATCTAGTTTGCCCCCAGAAATATGGAAGAACAAAATCAGCTTTTGCATCCAGATTTTTCACTTTCCTAGGACCACTGCTCTACAATAGACTAAATGCAATAAAAAGCATATATCCCTTAAATTACAAAAATTGTAAAATAAGCCTACAAGAAGCCTTACTAGGCATGTCCTATGAAGATACAGAGAAGTTATTAGTTGTAGTTAAGTAGCATAAGGATATACTTGTGAGAAGTGTTCGTTTCTCTTGATATTATTATTCTTGAATCTAGTATATTGCATCATTTTAGATTAGTTTTAAGTTAGTTATATGTGTAATGTTTTACCAAATTTACTGTAATTTACCATAAATAAATACACATGTTATTTTAATGGAAATTAATCGCCCGTTTCCGCCTGAAACACAGGATTTTCTTAGTTCAGGCGCATGTTTTGTTATACCTAAGCTAAAATTGTACTTTTAAGTTATTATTTTTGTACTAATTGTTAAAATAAAATTTTATTATTATTATATATTATTATTTTACTTTCTCGTGTATTTATTAAATAGGATATTTTTTATTTTTATTTTAAGCATTTTAACTGTTTCATTTATACGTTTTTGTTACAGAATAGAAGAACGCGCGAGCGATGCTTCCTATATTAGTACATAATAAGTGAAAATATAGGTAGTAGCAGGGTCTGAATGTAAACGGGTTACTATGGTAATTAGCAGGATGCCACCATGCATCTTATATTTTTGTGAGTACCCGATATTTCGGCACTGTTGCTACAGTTCCTACAAATTAAGTGATCATGATAGTTTAAAACCAAATGTAAATGGGAGGAGCCCTATAGTGTAGGTGATTAGCGCGTTCGGGTGCGATCGTTGAAGTTAAGCAACTTTCACAGAGGTCGGTCATTGGATGGGTGACCAAAAATTTACAATCTCGAGCTCCTCTGTGCTTCGGAAGGCATGTTAAGCCATTTGTCTCGGCTGCATCTTCAGTCGTTAGCATCCACCAATCCGCACTGTGCTCGCGTGGTTGGTCTTGGCACAATCTGCCATTCCATCCATTGGAGACTTTAATAGGCTGATGATGAAAGGTGTTATGATTGACTGACCGGTGAAGACTGGCGCTGGAGGGGCCGGGGCTGGTGGAGGGAGCCCGAGTCCCAGCTGCTGGGACCGGCTGGCCAGTAAAGTACGCGCCACCGTCAAGTGATCGTGGTGTGCTGCCACCGCTACCAATAAGTTTAGCAGCAGCTGCCGGCAATGCTGGTGTACTATCCACCTGCAAGTTGTCCCAATGACTCATGACGGCAGTTCGCACGGCTATTCGTATTTGCTATTTGTAAATCAGTTATTCTCGCTGGATCATTCGCTATGATCTGATGTCAAACTTAATCAGGCATAGAGGTCCACAAATTGATTAACAGACGATTTACAAATGTGAAACTACGTCAAAATGAACAGTACTATTTACAGTTCTATTTACAACGATTATTTTTTTTAAAAAAAATATTAAAATAATTTTAAATACGCATATTTATACTTGCAAATTTAATAAAAAAGCGCTTTGGCAGCAAGTCAGAAAAAAACTAAAAAAATGAAGAACCGTTAACTTGTTCAATGGACTTAATTTGTTGCTAATGACTTCTAGTATAACCCTTTCAAGGCATAGGTCGAGTTTTCCATTCACCCTGTGTAGTATGAAAAGGATATACTTAATTAAGGATATACTGCTGTAAAAATACGAATAACCATGTGAATTGTTAGCATCGATCAAGAAATACATGAATATTCCTTCGCCACCATGGTCTGGTCATGGTGTACCGGCACGGCTACTAGCAGCTTTCTGCTGGTGCACTAGCCATCTGCAAAGTGCCCTTACGTGTCAACCATATACATTGAAATAAATAAATATTACTAATGACCTGCGCAGACGAGAGACTTTTGAGTGTGGAGGGCATAAGAGTCCAAATCGTGAAAAAATTTCTGCCGAGGATTTTTTTATTTATTTATTTATATCACATTGCTCATGTACATTTTTTATTATAAGGTCTTACATACTTAATAGAGAGTGGTACATGACCCCGTTGGGGTGTTGCAACAAACTTAAGCTTAACATTAAATACATTAATTTCACTTAATTGTTGATCATATTAAATCACATCAGGTCCAACCAAATTTAAACAAAATCAATCCATTTTAAAATTAATCAAGTAAATTTATATCATATCATGTCATCATAATCATATCATATCATTTGTCACAGACGCACACGCTGAGGCAACATTTGTTGCCCGTACGTTAAGAGAGGGGCAGGCATGTAATAGCAATTATTCCATCTCACTAAAGCTAAGGAGACGTATGCTAAGCTAACTGTTAACCTCCGCTGTTCGGAGAGGCAATAGAAGAAGAAGATGCAACGGCAGCAATGTTTATACAAAAAGAAACACGTTTTAAAGGGGTTTTTGCACAACTTTTAATCCCTCGTGTACGTTAATCAATGCAGTTGAAAGCGATCTATTTCGGCGGACAAAAAAGGTCCACGGACAAAAATCCCTAGTCTGCTCAATCAGCCAACACGGACTCAATTAGCCTAGCCCCTAAGTAAACACAAAGTACAAGTATGTTTTAGCAAAAATAAACAAATAACAGATCCTTTGAGAGCGTCGATTTCAGAGCGTAGTGGCGTAGGGTGGGTTTAAGCTGCCTGATGCAGAGGTAAATTTTTACCGCTCTCTTTGCAAACACCGCGGAATGGAAATAAAAAAAAAACGATTGATGCCATTCATTTTTATTGAGCACTCAACAAGATAATGAACTTGAGGTCTTTTATAAATATAGAAAAATATATTACACCACTGTTTGAATGCATTTTTTAATGTTTACGATGTTGATTATGATATACGCTATAGCGTACAATGCGGTAGTGACATGACAACAAAATAATACATTCTCGTTTTTTTACGCTGTAATTAACATTATAAATAAAACTTGCGGTTTTAGGATACGACATAATTTAATATTCGTCAAAGTAGAGTTAAAATGTTAATCATGGTTAGCGGTGGACAGATCGTTTAGTACCAGCAAACCGCACCGCAAACATGATAATTATTCATTGCCGTACAGCGTATTACGTCAATATTTTCCAATCATATAGCGAATCTTGCATATTGGTGTGCATTCAGTGTTCTCATTGGCCAATGTGGTTTTGCTGCTACTGCATTCATTTGTCGCGCTTTGTGATTAGTTACTCTTTTATACCCACATTGAGACTTACCTGGTGTGGTCCATGCCGAGAAACACGATGTGCAGCATCAGGGGGACGTGGATCGACCAGTCCAATTCTACGCCATCCAGTACCACGTCGCATAATAGCATAACTGCCACGTTACACCTGTAGATTAACAACGAATAGAAACATATTATTGAAATTAGTGACAGTTCAATTAGGACATAAGCTATAGCATTTGTGTAGAGCGAGCTTGGTCCGATTTACAAACATTTATGATAATAATCCAGCTGACGACTCTAGACAATAGCTTGATTGGCAATTATTAAAAAAAAAGTGTGCCCGGACCACACATCTGTACCTCTAGCACGAACCAATATCGAATTCGTATCGTTTGCGACTCCGAAATG